GTAGCTGGTGTTATATATATATATATATATATATATATATATAAACACCTATATATATACCTATATATATATTAATACCTATATATATATATATATATATATATATATATATATAAAATACTTGTGTTATTTATATATATATATATATATATATATTAGTAGCTAGTGCAAAAATATATATATATATATATATATATATATATATATATATATATATATATATAAAATATGTAGGTGGTGTATTATTTTATATATATATATATATATATATGTCTGTGTGTGTGTGTGTGTATGTGTATTTTGTGTATGTATTTGTCAGGGTATTATACGCGCATTTTTTCTTGTGTGATTTTCATAATCGATAAAACCACAAACAGCTGGGAATGCTAAACCCCTTCACAATAGTGAGATGCTGTTTGGAAATCGGATCTCCAGAGCCTAGCTAAATCTCACTTTCCGTCATACAATACAATGTTCTGAAACTAGCAATTTCCCGCCTTAAGCAATCATAAGACCAGATATATATATATATATATTTGTGTGTGTGTATGAAGTGAAGCTAAAGAATCAAAAATCTATTACACGCCTAAGAGAAAGAAAAATGATTCTATTCCTTCAAGATATTCGTTTGGTACGGATCCAAAATAATGATTCTTACTTGCTCTGTGAAATCCGAGAAATCTTACGTCGCAAGATTGACGCTTAATTCAACTCTGTCGTCAATAGCGTGTGTTTGTAAATTGTTCGCCCGGGTGGATGCAAGGCAGGCAACCCCGTTAAATGCTAGTTACAGCAATACTGTGAAAGTGACCTCTGGATTTACCATTTCCTTTTTCTATCCTGAAGGAACCATTACACACACACACACACACACCTACATACACACACATGCATATATATATATATATATATATATATATATATATATATATATATATATATATATATATATATATATATATATATATATATATCATACTTAAATATCTTTATACTTTATATATAGGTCAATTATCTAGTCTAGAAGCTCATTACGAAAATGCACTGAATTTGCACTATGTATATTGATATTTAATACAAACATCTTCTATGTCAATGCACTTAATTAAGTGGGGAATATCAATCTCATCGTTCTATATTTTCAGAGAAACTGTGAGACTGAACTCTTTAGATTCACACTCAGGTATATAATATGTTTATATATATATATATATATATATATATATATATATATATATAAAACCCAAAGAAACATATACATCCAGAAACAAAGTACAATTTTGACAAATTATAAATATTACTTGTACACAAAACAATAGTAATTTAATGTATTGTTCATACAAAGAGATATATATTTTTCTAAATAAATATTTGTAAAATGAGTTTCATATATATATATATATATATATATATATATATATATATATATATATATATATGTGTGTATGTAGTGTGTGTGTATAAATATATATATATAAATATATAAATATATGGATTACACATAAACCTCTGGTGTTATAAAACAGTGCTCAATATATATATATAAATATATTTATATATATATATTTTATATATATATATACACACACACACATATATATATATATATATATATATATATATGTGTGTGTGTATATATATACACACACACATATATATATATATTCATATATATATAGAGAGAAATACGTCTGTGTGTGTGTGTGTGTATGTGTAAGGCTATTTTCGTAGCACATGGTTGAAAATGAGAGACGCCCTGTTAATCCTGGACTTGACTGTGCATCACTGTTGTGTGTGTATGTGTCTGTATATATATATATATATATTTATATTTATATATGTATGTATGTATAGAGAAACTCATTTTTTAATTGAATTGCTGAAATTTTTGGGAGAGAAAAATTAAATTAAAATCTACGACTGAAAATATTTCGGACATAGAAGAGGCCAGAGGTTACTTCATCTCTTGTGTACCTCACCAGTTCATGGTGGCGAGAAATATCAGGCCGTATCAGTAAAATGGCGGATAATATAGTTCAGAATAACCATGATAACAATAGTTAACAGACATTACTCTCGTTAAATATAAAGGCATTGGTATATATTTTCTTTATACAATGGTAAATAGAATTCTTGTTTATAGGTAAATATATCTATGTATATATATATATATATATATATGTATATATATACATATTTATATCTATGGATAGATTTGGATATAAAATCTGAAAAACGTCTGTGTTATATTCAAATACATATATAATGACGCACATGTTACATACATAAAATATAAGAGAAAATACTCGTTATATACAGCTCCCCTTATACATACATACAGAAATATATATATATATATATATATATATATATATATATATATATATATATATATATATATATATATATATGTCGGGGCGAAGCTTTTGTGAAGAATTTTAAGCAATAATTCCTCTAAATATTCTTCGAGTTTTCTTCTTCCCCGAGACGTAGTTATGGTTTTATAAAAAAAAAATATAGGTAAAAGTTATTTTTAAAAATATGTCACGTATGACGATATTGTATACACATGCATACAAATACGCATACAGACACACGCATCTATACGTACACTTTTTGCCCAAATATCACATGCGTATTGTACTAAACATATGTATATATCTATATACATATTTTGAGCAGAATAAAATTCATGCTCTACCATGTTTTTTGACTATTATATATATAGTATAATATTAATTGTGATTTATATATATATACATACATACATACATACATACACACACACACACACACACACACACACACACACACACACACACACACATATATATATATATATATATATATATATATATATATATATATACACGGGTTTCCATAAAGTCTCTTTATAATTCAAAATATATATTACAAAGGCAATTGATGAGATACCTTCATCAGATTTATTGTATTCACTCATTTTTTAATCACATTGCATTTGTGTATTTTAGGTATCCTGTTGATGAAAGAGGTACTATCAAATGAACCCCTAACATTTCAAGACCGGGATGGTCCAATTCCCTCTTCACCAGATATCACTCCCTTGGACATCGTTCTCTGGGGTTATGTTAAATATATTTTGAATCGAACAAAGATACGGGACAATACTGATCTAAAGCGAAAGATCACTGATGCCATTGCCACCATGGATGAGGTTATCGTACAACGAACAGGGTAAGAAATTGTATTACGTCTTGATGTCCTTCGAGCAACTAATGGCGCCCATATAAAAGTGGATTAAATTAGTTAAAACCCCTCAAAATCTACTCCTCGTTTTGTGATAATTTCCACTTATTTTTCTATTCATTTACCTTTGTAATAAATATTTTAAGTTGCAGAGATACTTTATGGACAGCCTATATATATATATATATATATATATATATATATATATGTAGTGTCCCTCAAAATGTATCGATTTTTGAGTTCGTCGCTGGTCTCAATGCTTTTAATTTGCTTTAATATTTAATTTAAAACTTTCATCATCTTTGTAAGTCAATAAAGATTAATATTTCCAAATTTAAACATTAATCTTGTTGGTAACTCAACACTGCATTTATTGAAATTTAAAAAGAGTGGCTATATTTTGGGAACTCTCTCTCTCTATATATATATATATATATATATATATATATATATATATATATATATATATATATATATATATATATAACAATATATATGTATTATATATTGGGAAAATGTATGACAAAGTGGAAACTGTTTTCTTGTAACGCGTTACGTCCGAACAGTCCGAGGAAGTCCCAAATGATGAAACGCATCGCGCGAAAACTTTTTTTCAACTTTGTTATACATTATCCTCAATAATATATATATATATATATATGTATATATATATATATATATATAATAAAAATATAGTTTTAATGTATGCTATGTTTATGGGTTAAAGTGTTTAACAGAGAGTATATAAATATAAAGTGTACATTGAAGTCAACACCCAGCAGCAGGTGTTGACTTATATATATATATATATATATATATATATATATATATATATGTGTGTGTGTGTGTGTGTGTGTGTGTGTGTGTGTGTAGGATTTTATGCATTCATTTATACTGGGTACAGCAGAAACACCTCCCACATATACATCGAGAAATACTCCCACATAATGGTAAGACATTATTGGCAATGGTGTCTAGATTTAGTTAATTTCTTGCTGGGAGGTATAAATCATGTAGACATATATTCTATATAAGTTATTGAACTGTTTATAAGTATGCATGCATCCGAATTTACATATCTGTTGTGTATGATACACCTAATTTACATAAGCGGACTACCGACCATATAAATATGGGTTGGTACCGGAAGACGGGGAAGATAGTAGAGATTAAGAAATTGAATCCAGAGACTCTGCCCGACTGCGATTTAGTCAACCCATTATGCAGGAACAGTCTTCCCAAGAATATACCAAACTAACTGTAAATATTGTGTACCTATTCTTTGTTTCAATACATTTTGTTAACGTACATTTTGTGTTGTATTATTCCATGCTTATTTAAGCTTCAACAATATCCATACACATATTTTACTACTAAAACTCATATATTTTACTAGCTAAATATGTTTGTGTTGATCTCGCAATTTTTAATTAATCAAATTAGTGTTTAGCGGTCTATAAATCGACAAGCCCAACTATAGAAAATACCCCAACCGACAGTATTTCTTTTTCTAATCCGGAAAACTACTTTTAAGCTAAGTGTGATTTACTATTAGTCTACCGGAAGACATCCTAAAATTAATGTATAATTATCCTATTTAAAAAAAAAAAAAAAGAATAAACTTTTGTTGGGACATTTCAGAGTCTATATACGCTACCTATCTTTCAGCATCCGAATCATGAACAAAATAATCTTAATGGATCTTTTTTAAGATCCGTGTCTCAAAAGGACAGTTTTTCCCATGACACGGCTTTTTTGACTACCTTGTCTTTTTAAAAAGCGTGAAGAGAGGAAGAGAAAGAAGAGGAGAAAGAGGAGAGAGAAATAGAAGAAAGAAAGAAAGAGTGGAGAGAGAGAAGAGAGACAGAGATGGAAAAGAGAAAGAGAAGAGAAGAAAGAAGAAAGAAAGAAAGAACGAGAAGAGAGAGTGGAGAAGGAGAAGAGATAGAGACGGAAAAGAGAAAGAGAAGAAAGAAAGAAAGAAAGAAAGAAAGAAAGAAAGAAAGAGAAGAGAGAGCGGAGAGAGAGGGAGAAGAGAGAGAGAGACGGAAAAGAGAAAGAGAAGAGAGAAGAAAGAAAGAAAGAAAGAAAGACAGACAGAAAGAAAGAAAGAAAGAAAGAAAGAAAGAAAGAAAGAAAGAAAGAAAGAACGAGAATAGAGAGTGGAGAAGGAGAAGAGAAAGAGACGGAAAAGAGAAGAGAGAAGAAAGAAAGAAAGAAAGAAAGAAAGAAAGAAAGAGAAGAGAGAGTGGAGAGAGAGAGAAGAGAGAGAGAGAGACGGAAAAGAGAAAGAGAAGAGAGAAGAAAAAAGAAAGAAAGAAAGAAAAAAGAGAAGAGAGAGTGGAGAGAGAGAAGAGGGAGAGAGACGGAAAAGAGAAGAGAGAAGAAAAAAGAAAGAAAAAAAGAGAAGAGAGAAAAGAGAGAGAAGAGGAAGAGAGACGAAAAGAGAAAGAGAAGAGAGAAGAAAAAAAGAAAGAAAGAAAAGAGAAGAGAGTGGGGAGAGAGAAGAGAGAGAGAGTAAGGAAAAGAGAAAAGAAAGAGAGAAGAAAAAAGAAAGAAAGAGAAGAGAGAGGGAGAGAGAGAGAGAGAGAGAGAGAGACGGAAAAGAGAAAGAGAAGAAAGAAAGAAAGAAAGAAAGAAAGAAAGAAAGAAAGAAAGAAAGAAAGAGAAGAGAGTGGAGAGAGAGAAGAAGAGAGAGAGACGGAAAAGACAAAGAAAGAAAGAAAGAAAGAAAGAAAGAGAAGAGAGTGGAGGGAGAGAAGAAGGGAGAGAGAGAGAGAAGAAGAAGAAGAAGAAGAAGAAGAAAGGGCGAGAGAAGAGCAGAAAGAGAAGAGAGAGAGAGAGAGAGGGTTAAAAGAAAGAGAAAGAAGAAATAAAGAGTCGAGAGAGAATAGAGAAATAGAAGAGATAGAGACAAGATAGCGAGAGAAGTCAGAGAGAAGAGAGATAGAAAGAGAGAGAAAGAGGAAATAGAGGGCAAGAAGAGAGAGAGAAAGAAAGAGAAAAAGAATAGATAGAAAGAAAACAGAGAAGAGAGGGTGAGAGAAGTGATTGCGGGAGAAGAGAGAAAGAGAGAGAGAGAGAGAAGTCAGAGAGGAGACGAAGATAGATAGATAGATAGAGAGAGAGAGAGAGAGAGAAGGAGTAGAGGGTGAGAAAGAGAGAAAATAAATAAAAGGGAGAGAAGAGAGAGTGAGAGAAGTGATAGCGGTAGAAGAGAGAAAGAGAGAGAGAGAAGTCAGAGAGGAGACGAAGAAGAGAGAGAGAGAAGGAGTAGAGGTGAGAAGGAGAGAGAAGAAATAAGAGGGGGAGAAGAGGGGGTGAGAGAAATGATTGCTGGAGAAGAGAGAAAGAGAGAGAGACGAAGAACAGAGAGAGAGAGTGAAGGAGTAGAGGGTGAGAAAGAGAGAGAATAAATAAGAGGGAGAGAAGAGAGGGTGAGAGAAGTGATTGCGGGAGAAGAGAGAAAGAGAGAGAGAGAAGTCAGAGAGGAGACGAAGATAGATAGATAGATAGATAGAGAGAGAGAGAGAGAGAGAGAGAAGGAGTAGAGGGTGAGAAAGAGAGAAAATAAATAAAAGGGAGAGAAGAGAGAGTGAGAGAAGGTGATGGGATCAAGAAGAGAGAGAGAGAGAGAGAGAAGTCAGAGAGGAGACGAAGAAGAGAGAGAGAGAAGGAGTAGAGGGTGAGAAGGAGAGAGAAGAAATAAGAGGGGGAGAAGAGGGGGTGAGAGAAATGATTGCTGGAGAAGAGAGAAAAGAGAGAGAGACGAAGAACAGAGAGAGAGAGTGAAGGAGTAGAGGGTGAGAAAGAGAGAGAATAAATAAGACTGGGAGAGAAGAGAGGGGTGAGAGAAGTGATTGTGGGAGAAGAGAGAAAGAGAGAGAAGTCCTGAGAGGAGACGAAGATAGATAGATAGATAGATAGAGAGAGAGAGAGAGAGGAGTAGAGGGTGAGAAAGAGAAAATAAATAAAAGGGAGAGAAGAGAGAGGAGAGAAGGATATGGTAGAAGAGAGAAAGAGAGAGAGAGAGAAGTCAGAGAGGTGACGAAGAAGAGAGAGAGAAGGCCAAGAGGTTGAGAAGGAGAGAAGAAATAAGAGGGGGGGAGAAGAGGGGTGAGAGAGAAATGATTGCTGGAGAAAGAGAAAGAGAGAGAGACGAAGAACAGAGAGAGAGAGGAATAAGAGGGTGAGAAAGAGAGAGAATAAATAAGAGGGAGAGAAGAGAGAGAGAAGTGATTATTGGGAGAAGAGAGAAAGAGAGAGAGAGAG